GAACAGTTTTGAAAATTTTTGTGTGAATCTTTTCCAATCTGATTTAATATCTAAAGGTAAAACTGAAAACCATTTTTGGGCGTCTATGTATCCAATTTTGATGAAGTGGTGTATTTGCTGGTTCAGGTCGAATATTTAAAATCAAATTTGCTGCATTTAAATAATCTTTCGAAATCTGTTCCTGTGAATACCATTGATGGTTTTTTCGAAAATTTTGAGGATCCACCCATAAGGTATGGATTCACAGTCATTTGTAGTGATTCTGCGGTATTTGGTATTTGAGAAAAACTTGTAATTTTGTTTTGTTATTTCATGTTGTTGCAGGTAATGTGGTAGTGGGATTCCATTTTGCATTTGTGTTGGATGGTATTTTTCTGTATTCACTGGGTTTTATGATTGAAAATTATTATATGAGGTTGGATGATGTCTTGTTTGCCTTTGGTCGTTTCGTGTATATGGTTCAAAAAGATCTGATTGATAGAATGGATCTGCTTTATCGATGTTCCGGTTATTTTGATGATGATTTGTGTTATCGCGTTGATTTTGATAATAATATTTATCATCTTCTGAGTAATAATGTGGTTGATTCCTAGTATGATGTTTGTTTGCTATCTTTTTGTTTTGTGGAAAAAATGGATAAGTTTTGCTATGTTCTAGTGTGGCTCGTGGCTGATTGTTAAAGAATACTGATTTAGAAGCTTGTTGTGGTACATTTTGATTTTGGATTTTGTGATTGCGATTGATTTTGATTATTCGTATTGGGGGGTTTTGTTGTTTTGGATTTTTGGAAAAAATGGTAATTATTATCTGAGAAGTTATTTCTATTTGATGTTTTTTGCTTATTTGTTTGTCTTGACGTTGTTAATGGTCTAAATTTTTGATATTCCATCTGTGAATAATTTGGGATTACTGAAGGTTTCACTGTCAATTGTATAGTTGTTTGTGGAAATACTGTGTTTCTTCTTTTTGGAGTTGTAAAAGTTGGATGAATAGGAGAAATGCTTTGTTGTGTTTTTTTTGTTGGCATTGTTTCAACTATTTCTTCATAATCGAAACGTGATGGAGTTTGAATATCTTGTTGTGTACGATATCTTCTTCCATTTAAACTTTCTTGGTTAATAAATGTAGAATTTAAACTATTATTTATTTCTCTATCGGTGAATATTGAAGTATAGTTTATAGGTGTTGCATCAATGGTAAGTGGGGTTAGTCTAACATAATCTTTAATAATGGAAACTTTGGTGATTGCTTGACTTGAGATGTCAACTGGTATAGTAATAAATGATGGATGAGACCGTTCAGGGTCCCAAACAAATGTTTCGTCTGCCAATATAGTTTCATCGTCTGAATTTTGTGGTTGAAAAATTTTTCTTGCTAGTGATATTAGGTCAAGGTTATGGACAAAACAATCAATTATAGACCATGCTAGTATCTTTTTTAGATTGTGTTTAACATTTTGTGACATATCGTTTTTAGTGAGATTTTCACGGTTTCTATTTAAAAGTATTGAGAAAATACTTATTTCTTGTCTTACAGCTGTATGTCGGGTTGTTTTAGTTGGTGAGTCACCTTGTGTTTCTCTCAGTTCTAGTATGCATAGATAGCTAAAAATATTTGAGAATACAACGTTCGTAAATATGGAATTTTCTCTTTGTGAATTTCGGTGTAAAAACTTGTAAAAACTTTTGAGAATTCTTTATTTATAACGTCTGTTTGTATTTGGTGTTTTTTTGTGATTTAGCTTTGGTGATGCGATTTCGATTGTAAATATAACATAATGTGATGTGATATTACATATATGTTTTCGGTAATGATCAACGATTTGTCGTTTTATTTGTACTTCTTCAGGGAATTCTTGTTTACGTGGGCTAATTCCTTTTTCAAATAAGTTTACAATTAGGTTATGACACAATTGTACTTGTCCTCGGGAGGGATCATTTTGTGGTTTTATAAAAAATGGGAGTTTCGACTTATCGTAGAAATTTCCGTTGTATTCGATCATGTTTTTGTTTGTATGACTGTTAGTGTGTAACATTCAATTTGTCTTATTGGTTGATTCCAATTATATAGGCGTATTGGTTTGTTGATATATGACTTTTTTTATTTTGCGTTTTCTTTTTTTTTATGATGTTGTTGTGTCCTCTGAGTCGGAGACATAAATTTGGTCGTCGATCGGGTTATTTTTGTTTATGGAATCTTTTAATTCTTGAAGTTCCTGTACTGTGTTTTGTAAATCGTTTTCTGATAATTCATTTTTGTTTTGTTATGATTGTCTTTTTTCGTGTTTGTCATTTTGATCTAATATATCCTATTGATTGTCTGTGTGGTGTGATTACAAGGTCGTTCTTTCGTTTTTAAATAAACAATTATGTAATATGATTGTTTGTTTACTGCCTAGATTATCTCTTGACATAATGATTAGGATAATGGATGCAATATTTGGGGGTTAGAGTTTTTGTTTTCCTAAACTGTTAGTTCTTACGGTTTGCGTGTGGTTATCCTGAATTGGGCATTGATTGTTGTGGTTTGACGGCTTGGAGAGAGGTTAGTATATCGATTCGTGAGAATGATTTCTTACTTTCTCGTGACTGAGTTCTAATTTAAGATAAACTTACCTAATCTTACTCAGGGGTTGTGATTTGTGATCAAGATTTGGAAAATAGTAAATCAATTCACAAGGTTCAGGTATAATTAGAACGCAAATAGGTCGTCATTTACTATTTTATGACTTACTGAGCTTAAGTGTTTTAGCCTGGGTCATCTAAGGGGAAGGGAATCAAGTGAAGGATGAGTAACCGAAACTCTTCACTGTTTATCTGAATTAAAATGGTTAATTCTTTCAAAAAATTTTATTAGTCTTGGGTCTTTGACAAGGGTTGGGTAGTGAATCGACGTTTGAGGTCGTTAGAGACTTTAAAAATATGGGGGGAATTGTTCTGTTTGATCCAAGGAAAGCCTTGATGATCAGAAAATAAAAAAATTTAAACTAAGTGACTTTTTAAAGACCCAAATGATCTGTTTCTAAGCCTTGATGATCTGTTTTTTAAGCTAAGGCAATTTTAGAAAAAACAAATATGCTTTGATAACATTTAATGTAAAGGTTTAAGTGTGAAAAATTTAAGATTAAGGTTTTGATGATGTTAGCTTTGGGTAATTTGTTTTTGTTTTTTAGGCGATGAAGCTGGGATGAAGAAATGATATGACAGATTAATAAAATAAACGATGATTTTTTAATTTAATTAATTTTTGCATTTTGTTCAATAAATTATTTTATTCAACATGTTCTAATTTACTGCAGATTTTTTGGAGAGAACGACTTGTGTTGTTTTTATCAGTCGTTATTGTATAAATATTAGGTTTAGTACCACTAAGGTTATTCAACGATTTCTTCAACTTTTATGTCAGTAAATGAAAATCTAAATTTACTTCGGAAAGGATTTTAAATACATAGGTTTGTTCCGGTTTCCTTTGTTTTATCATGAAATGAATCAATAGGTTTCTTCCTAATTGCAGATTGTGCCTTGTCCTTGGTCTTCTCGCAATACCTGGTATTTCTCGTGTTGTTTGGATAATTGGCGGTGATCTATTGATTCGGAGAGACATTTCTAATAAATAGTCAATTTCATGTAAGTTTTTTTTGCAATTTTGCAATTGTCTAATTCTAAAATCTAGATTTTCTAAATCTAAGTTAGTTAAGGTCTTGTTCGAGATTTTTGGTCGCACCAGATGAGTTATGTTCGATTGACTGCACTCATAGAGTAATTTCAGATAAGGTACATTGTCTGCTCGTCACGCTATCTTATTTTCGGCCGGATAGATTCGTACAACTTCTTAGTCTAATACCGATCTTAATCTTACTCTTATATCTCCTTGTTCCAATAGATCTAGTGTATACTAGTTTATGCAAGTTAGTCTCCAGAAGGAGACCAACTGTGTTCTAAGTTTTATTCAAATTGCTCTGGTGCTGAAACTACAAGTAGTTTCAGCACTTACAAATAAGTGTAATGTTAGTTATGGAATATGATTGGTTAGTTAAGAATATTTGATAGAATAAGAGAACTATATTTATAACCAATTGGTACCACTGTGTCAGATTTATTTTTGTTCCCTGATATTACTCAGTTTTTTGTTGATCTTTTTTAATTTTACTAATATTACACAACACTTTGCAATACGTAGGCTCTGGGGATTTTCTTGTTTCTATTCGGCCCTTTTTTTCTTCAAGTTTTTCTGCTTTTTCGAGTTTCTGTCCAATTTTTTCGAGTTTTCTGTGTTGTCTACTCAAGTGCTATCTTCATCTGTTTCACTTCGATTTCTTGGTAACAATTTTTTTTTCACGAGAACAAAATCCGCTCAAAAAGTTTTTGTGTTTTGCTATTTCTGGATTACCCTCTGGTACCCATACAGACTACCGAATTCAGCATTTGTTCACACGTTCTACATTTAATTGACTTCCGTCATTTTTTGAACCCATCAAATCTTGATATAATTTTTTCCTCACACTAGTGATAATTATTGCTTTTTTCTATTTCTATTCCAATTATCAACAAAATTTCAATAATATTTAATTGAACGATTTTAAGTTCCTTTTCTGATTTCAATAATTGTAATTGATTTAGTTCAGGTATTGAACTTCAAGTATTTAATTCAAGGATATCAATATTTCAATAATATTTAATTCAAGAATTTCAATAACATCTTTTTCCAATTTTGATAATATTTAATTCAAAAAATTAATTGATTTTCTTTTCCAATTTCAATCATATTTAATTCAAGGAAGAATTGAAACAGATCTTTCAGTAAATTATTAGACAACCCGCTAATTTCGTTTTTGCTCATCAAACTTAATTGAGCTTCTGTTTTAAATGAAAAACCAGATTTCTACTCGCTGATTTCAATTTCAAGCAATCAGATTGAAGCATTATGATCAAACTTTCAAAATAGCTGAATAGTTTTTCGGCTGTATAAAAGAAAAGACAAGGTACCGTGAGTTATTTTAGCTGCCCTGTTTGTGGCGACGATGTTAAGCAGGGCACCTTCTTCTGCATAAACTGCGGGGGTGAAGCGGGCTCCTGTTGCAATGGGGTGATGGGAATGTCGTTCTGCTGTTCGGACGAGTTGCTAGCTATCCAGACTTCTTTTGGAATCGCGACCAGTGAGTGCGCAGTTGGCAAAACTAGGGTTGCATTCGATTATAAACATTTTCATACAAGTTTTCTAACAGTGAAAAATCGATTGTATGATCATTAAAAAATTATACACTAAAAAAAACGAGGGATTGGTTTTGCTGTTAGAATTATGCAGGGGTGGGTCTAGGAGTTTCTTGATGAGGCATTAGTCCAAACCACTAAAAAGTCCCTATTTTCAACAAATTTTTCAAAAACCAAACGTTTTAGGCACTTTTTGGAAAGTTTTGATATTGGAAAATTTCAGGGTCGGTCAGCCAAAATAGATGGTTTGAAAAAGTGCAAAAGGGAGACCCTATGGGTTGTCAGGGAATTAATCCCTGAGGGGGGGATCCCTCTCACCCACCTAAATCCGTGCTACTGTAGATCTTTTGAAAATCCCCAGTATCAGTATAAAATTGAGGCACTTTTTCGTTTCCCTCCATTCTTTGGGTCCGGGGTGGCCTTCCCATTGAGAAATTTTGGATAAGGGTACACCCAGGGGCGGATCTAGGGTTTTCTCGAAGGGGCGGTTTTTCAAAAAAATTTCGAAAATTTTGACGACCTGTTTTCATTTTTAGTTCAACCGAATTGATTTTCCGAGCTCTCCCAAACCACTGTAAAAACCCTTTTTTCAACAAATTTTTTAAAAAACAGGCTCTCCCAAAGCAGCAAAAAGTCCCTGTTTTGGCCAAAATTTCTGCGCCGCAGGGACAATTTTGAAAAAAACAGGCGGCCAAAAAGACGTTTTTGGGCAACTTTCGGAAAATTTTGACAAAAATCGCGTTTTTATGGCGCGCGCTCCACCTCAAAATTAGTATATATTGGCGCCCAAGGCGACTTTAGAAAAATTTTAGGGTCGGTCGGCCAAAATTGAATTTCTGAAAAATTATCAAGGGGGATCGGCAGGGGGTCGAATTCCTGAGAAAAAGGCGTCAGCGCCCATCCCACCAAAAAAATACGCCGCTGGGTACACCATCTGTTCGTCACGCTATCTTTTTTTGGCCGGATAGGCTCGTACAACTACTTTGCCTAATACCAATCCTAATTTTATTTAGATATCCTATATTTCCTAGTCTCAATAGATTTACAGATTTTTCGCAAAGTTAGAGGAGAGAAGTAGGCAACTGATTTCAATCTCTAATATTACTTCTCTGACTGAAATCAGTTAACTAAGAATAGTTTCAGCTTTACAATTTTTTGTAAGTTACAAAAGCATTACAAGTTCATTTTGTGTAATCAGGGGTTTCACAGGGTCAAATGTGAAGACCAAATAGGTTTGCCATAGCCTTTGTAACAATAGGACACGTGGAACCAGTTCTAAACTAGTACTTATAAACCAATTATATCATTGATAAAATAATCTCTATAAATTATTACTAACTAACCAATCATATTCCATCACTAACATTGACACTTATTTGCACCAGAACAATTTGAATTAATCTTAGACTACAATTGTTCTCCTCCTGGATAAACTCCAACAACTAACTCGTAAATACTGATGTACACTAAATCTATTGAGATTACGAGATTTAAGAGTAGGATTAAGATTGTAATTAGACTAAGAAGTTGCACGAATCTATCCGGTTGAAGAAAAGATAGCGTGATGAACAGACGGTGTACTTTATCTGAAATTAATCTATGAGTACATTACCTCGTGAAAAACTCATCTGGTGCGACGAAAAGTCTCGAACAAGACTTTAACTAACCTAGATTTAGATAATTAGAATTAGAAAAAGACAATTGCAAAATTACAAAACGATAGATGGAATAGAAAATTTATTCGATATGTCTCTACGTCTCAAAGAATCTACGCCAAAGTTTGAAACTATACAAAAAATACTAGGTATTGCAAGAAGACTGAAATCACGGCGTGAACAGCGATCAAACGACGGACCGATCTACTACATGATAGTACGACGAAAACCGCAAGAACTATTTGTATTTAAAATAGTTTATGCAAAAAACTTGGATTTCCATTTATTAACATAGAAATTATTTAAAAATTACCTCTTCAAAAATATACTTGGTTTTTTATAGCCAATTAAATACAAAATTAATGACTGATAAAAAGATGCACAAGTCGTTCCTTTCCAAATCTGCAATGAATTATGTTGAAAACTTTTTTTAAATAAATAATTTATTGAATATAAAATTACAAAAATTGATTAGTAGAAAATTTTAACGTAAGTTTTATTAAATTTACTAACAAAAATTTTTTGCATCTCAAGAAATCATCTTTTCTTCATCCCAGCTTCATCACCTAAATTATAACCAAACTTATTAGAAAAACTAATATCAAATAAATTCGAACTTTTAACACTTCAAACTAATTTAATTTTTGAACTTGAAATTTATCAAGGCTTATCCTTGCTTTTCAACAATTTCACGTTTAATTTTATAAACAGTTCATCAAAACTTCCATTAGATCTTTGACTTAACTTAAAATACATTTTAATTCACTTGAATTATCTGATCATCAAGGCCTCCCTTGGATCAAATAGAGCAACTTCGTTCTCTTCACCTTATAATTCAAAGTTTCTAACGACCTCAAACGTCATTCCTATCGCGTTTCCATTTACGATCAAACTTCCTCACTCTTACCCACTTTCAATAATAACTCACCACGCATGGAATCTGACGATTCCACAAAAACCATCTATAACACATTTTTCTAGTTTAAAAATTCGGATATAGAAACACCAGACAAAATCCACGACTCCCAGCCCAGTCCATCCACTTTTTCGCAGCCCCCCTTTCAGACTCTTGTTTCCTAACTTTCCAATAAATCCTCCCTAGCCCCCTCCCCATACACCGACGCCACTCTAATTCTTTCCCCGATGACCAGCGATCAACCCGACCCACCGAGCCCCGTCAATGACGAACTAGAGCATGAAATAGATAACTTTATCACACTGGAATAACAACTCAAAAATCCTCATACACTATCAATTTATCAGCTATCTCACTCCATATCAACCTCTGAATCCTCAAACCAATCACCTAATGAAATAGAAACAAGAGCCCACAGTTTTTTCAAACGTAAACATCCAAATGCACAATCCCAACTACTAAGCCACCCCCGACCAGCAAGACTATTTTCCCTTCATCCACTCCATACTAACACAAAAAAATTCTTGAAATACACCATACCATTTTTTTCACAATATACCTTCTACCAGACCACTAACAAAGACCAACTGAACTTCGTTGATGAACATAGCCTGGTTCCAATACTTTCTTGTACTTAACAACTTCTTAACAGATTTATAGCACAACGAGCTAACAGATTTTCCATTAATCCTTAAAACTACGCTATTACACTCTATGTGGAAGACAAGGTATTGAAGACAACACAAACACTAACCCTCAGTTAATCGAAAGTTTTTTTGTTAAGTCAGAATATCTATTTAACATTGATAGCATTAATAAAAAAAATATGACAATATCATCGCCACTGCACTAAAAACACTAAAGCATATGAATCCTATTTTATTAAATTCAACCACTTTGCACTAACTTTTCACTTCCTTACGCCTGGGGATCGTGATTTGCCCACTAACCAAATCCTTCGATGTTGATGACTCCTACACACTATTCATCCCCCATGAATAAATGCAGCCAATCGAAATCGTCAAACTAGAATACATACGTAATAAAAAATATAACCAAAAATTGTATGACCTAATCCAAAACACATTGCATGAATTCTCACCTGATAATGAAGAACTAAAAACCATCCGAGCGCTAGAGCTTCACTGGTCTCTCCTTCAGACTAAAAACGTCATCCGCATGCTTGCAAACCTTCTAACATCATCAACCATAACTCGCACTAACTTTCCAAATGGATTTTATGAAGAAGACAACCCTTTGTAAGTATAATTGAATATTTCAACTAACAAATAACTAAAAACACTCACCATTTTCCACAAATGTTTCAATTTCCTTGTTCAGATTTCACCTATTATTCATCTAAAATTAAACAAAAACCAAATAACAAATTGTAAACTATTTTGCAGATCGTTTAAAATTTTATTTAGGAATTGAAGTAATTTTTTAAAGTAGCAAATTTTTGTTTAACAAGCAGTATTTCAATAACTCAGCAATAAAGTTCTAATAATTGAAGCAGTAAATTAATAAAAATTGCAAATAAGTTAAAAGAAAACTTATCTTTATTTGTAATGCTTCTATTGTAAATTTTCAATCGCTTCACTCGCCCACATCTCACACACTCAATTCATAAATTCACACAAATCGCCCACAAATAATCGCCCGGTTGGAAGGAAATATAAGAGTCAACTTAAACTAACCAGCGCAGCTTACTAACGCCACAGAATTACAAACTAATAGCATGAATAAGAAAGAAAGTCCCACGGTACCCAAACCGGATTAAACCCAAATTAAAACTGGACAAATTATTTTTTTTTGAAACTCACTTTCAAGTTTTATTGAAAGTGAATAAATCATTCAAAAGTGAAAAGACAAATACAAAAAGAATATTCTACTTCTGAGAAAAGGACACAACCAAAACAAATAAGATAAAAATGAAAAAAAAAAGGTTGAAGGTTGAACATAAAAAGAGACTCTGCCCAAACAGATCATAAAATGTAACCCACTCTAGCCTCATCAACCAGAACGACGTCGCTAAAAATACACGCTTACACCACTACGAACTAAAATAAAACCACTTTTACAAAAATAACTAATAACAAGTCATATATAAAATCTGACTTCATTAACAAAATGTAGATATATAAATGCAATATGATGTAAAAGACTCCTTAGAGCCAACGGAATGAGCAGCAAAGGAAGATGAAAACTCGAGAACATTCAACTCTGGAATGGCAAATCTATTAGCTTTGTTGCCTAGTCAAAAAATTCTTGAAATACACCATACCATTTTTTTCACAATATACCTTCTACCAGACCACTAACAACGACCAACTGAACTTCGTTGATGAACATAGCCTGGTTCCAATACTTTCTTGTACTTAACAACTTCTTAACAGATTTATAGCACAACGAGCTAACAGATTTTCCATTAATCCTTAAAACTACGCTATTACACTCTATGTGGAAGACAAGGTATTGAAGACAACACAAACACTAACCCTCAGTTAATCGAAAGTTTTTTTGTTAAGTCAGAATATCTATTTAACATTGATAGCATTAATAAAAAAATATGACAATATCATCGCCACTGCACTAAAAACACTAAAGCATATGAATCCTATTTTATTAAATTCAACCACTTTGCACTAACTTTTCACTACCTTACGCCTGGGGATCGTGATTTGCCCACTAACCAAATCCTTCGATGTTGATGACTTCTACACACTATTCATCCCCCATGAATAAATGCAGCCAATCGAAATCGTCAAACTAGAATACATACGTAATAAAAAATATAACCAAAAATTGTATGACCTAATCCAAAACACATTGCATGAATTCTCACCTGATAATGAAGAACTAAAAACCATCCGAGCGCTAGAGCTTCACTGGTCTCTCCTTCAGACTAAAAACGTCATCCGCATGCTTGCAAGCCTTCTAACATCATCAACCATAACTCGCACTAACTTTCCTAATGGATTTTATGAAGAAGACAACCCTTTGTAAGTATAATTGAATATTTCAACTAACAAATAACTAAAAACACTCACCATTTTCTACAAATGTTTCAATTTCCTTGTTCAGATTTCACCTATTATTCATCTAAAATTAAACAAAAACCAAATAACAAATTGTAAACTATTTTGCGGATCTTTTAAAATTTTATTTATGAATTGAAGTAATTTTTTAAAGTAGCAAATTTTTGTTTAACAAGCAGTATTTCAATAACTCAGCAATAAAGTTCTAATAATCGAAGCAGTAAATTAATAAAAATTGCAAATAAGTTAAAAGAAAACTTATCTTTATTTGTAATGCTTCTATTGTAAATTTTCAATCGCTTCACTCGCCCACATCTCACACACTCAATTCATAAATTCACACAAATCGCCCACAAATAATCGCCCGGTTGGAAGGAAATATAAGAGTCAACTTAAACTAACCAGCGCAGCTTACTAACGCCACAGAATTACAAACTAATAGCATGAATAAGAAAGAAAGTCCCACGGTACCCAAACCGGATTAAACCCAAATTAAAACTGGACAAATTATTTTTTTTTGAAACTCACTTTCAAGTTTTATTGAAAGTGAATAAATCATTCAAAAGTGAAAAGACAAATACAAAAAGAATATTCTACTTCTGAGAAAAGGACACAACCAAAACAAATAAGATAAAAATGAAAAAAAAAAGGTTGAAGGTTGAACATAAAAAGAGACTCTGCCCAAACAGATCATAAAATGTAACCCACTCTAGCCTCATCAACCAGAACGACGTCGCTAAAAATACACGCTTACACCACTACGAACTAAAATAAAACCACTTTTACAAAAATAACTAATAACAAGTCATATATAAAATCTGACTTCATTAACAAAATGTAGATATATAAATGCAATATGATGTAAAAGACTCCTTAGAGCCAACGGAATGAGCAGCAAAGGAAGATGAAAACTCGAGAACATTCAACTCTGGAATGGCAAATCTATCAGCTTTGTTGCCTAGTCATTACCCTCAAAAGTTTTAAAGTATGGACCCAACATGGTAGCAAAGGAAATCCATTGAAACAGGCCTATGGCCAACTCGATTTTGATCTCACATACCGATCCTAGTCACTTGGCACTTCAGACAGAAAAGTCAAACTTAATCTTGCACGTAGTCTCGCTCTAAGATTAACGAAATCAACGCATAATTGCATCGATCTGAAGTCTTAACACAATCACCCAAGACGAACCACGGTCAAACAAGACCCATATTTGGAACACGAATGATCAACCTTCTTCTCTCCACCCAAAGAGCTATATCTCTTTTATCCTCAAGAAGTCACTGCTCAAAGAGGAAACTTCAACTTCAAAAAGGAAACTACCTCAACCGTCCTTCACTACAACAAACAATTAAAAACTAAAAACTCTCTAAACTCGTGATGGGTAGAACCAGTTCTAAACTAGTATTTATAAACCATTTATATTATTGATAAAATAATCTCTATAAAATATTACTACCAAACCAATCATTTTCCATCAGTAACATTGACACTTGTTTGTAAGTGCTGAAATTACTTGTAGTTTCAGCACCAGAAAATTTTGATTAAATCTTAGACCACAGTTGCTCTCCTTCTGGATAAACTCCAAGAACTAACACGTCAATACCAGTGTACACTAGATCTATTGAGAATAGGAGATTTCAGAGTAAGATTAAGATTGGTATTAGAATCAGAAGTTGCACGAATCTAACCGGCTGAAAATAAGATAGCGTGACGAACAGACGGTGTACCTTATCTGAAATTACTCTATGAGTACTGTAACTCGTACATAACTCACATGTGAAACAGAAAGTTTCCAGTGAAAATTTGCAGTTGATGGAAAAAGGAAAAAGACAAAATCGATGCGGCTGGCAAAAGTTATGCAATTTTTGAACTTTTGAGCGCTTTGTGGAAGGCTTAAAGAAGTTTCGAATATTTTGGATTGTTAAATTCAATTATATTTGGTGAAAGATTTGGTTGAAGTTTTTATGAATAATCGAATTTTTAATAACTATCTCAGCTTCTCATTTTTTTCTACCATTCTGCTGAAAAGTTATAAGTGTACTCATAAGGAGATTTTCTTAACAATACCCAGGTTTGCATTCAAATTCAGTAAAGGAACTAAATTCACTGTCGCATTGAATTTACATGGGCATTCATGGACTAAGTTATAATCCCCCTCGATTCTTATTGGCTGAGAACTCTGAACCAAGTTAACGTCCCCTCCCTCTCTAAACACATTGGGGGGATGATGTTAATATGGTTTGTATTGCTAATTAGATAACTTAAATTTGACATAATTCAGAACTTCTGGACTCGCAATCAGTGGCCACCTGTCAGTCAAACGACAATTGTCCAACAGTAGCCAATCAGATTGTCGGAGTATTCGTCGAAGAGGCAAATGGTGACTACTGTTGTCCTATCTACAACATGTGTTGTCCATTCAAGGAATACTTTTGGTGGAACCTCAAAATGCTCTCTTATTCGTTCGGAGGCCCCGCGATCTTTTTCTGCCTAGTTGGCGTTATGATAAATGCTATGTGCTGTTGCTGCTGCTGTTGTTGTTGTGGCAAAAAAAGCACTACAACTCAACTCGTGGCGTAGCGCCTATCTTCATCATTCCAATCTTCGGGTCTTACTACTTATTTCGCCAAATTTCAAAATCAATGAACAGCACATCAAAAATGAATGGACACCTTTTTCAAACTATATTTGGTCAATGTAATTCGACCAATCAAGCTAGATCATTTTAACTTTGGGATCTTGTTGAATATTGCTCCCTTATGCTACCTAGAAAAAATTTGCCACTCCTGTGTAGAATTTACCCAACGGGTAAGCATATGTGAGTTTTGAAACTTTGCACCGAATGATCACCCTACATTTTGCAGAAGGGGAGGGGATCGTTTTTTGTCGTCATAATGTCGGATTTTCCAATAATTGCGGAATAAAAAAAAACATTTTCATCTAAAGTTTTGGGATTCCAACCGTAAAAGAAGGATCAGTCAAAACTGAAAACTGACCTTAAAAATCCGGGTAACACTAATTGAATCACTTTGTATCAATGAAACGTATTTCTTTTATTTGTATCAATGAAACGTATTCACTTCTTTTTGTGTTTATGAAACGCGACTTCACTATTTGCGTTTTATATATTATTGTAGTTTACATAGCGAGTGAAATTAGGTTTTTCAAAACTTCAAAAAAAAAGAATTTTCGTAATTTTTATCCCGACTTTTGAAGAAACGCGGCGTATTTATGCTTGGTGTGTTGTTTTTACTCAATCAAATTTCGATTTCTTTCGACATTTTTTGTACCATCCGAAAAATATTGTTGTCTGAAACTAGAATGTAAGCAAAATATATTTTACTCACAATCAGTTTTCACTAGTTATCATTGTTGTTCCGACTTCCGCAACGAAAGTAACGGAATATTTGTGCTCGGGTCTGTGACAAAATTTTTCGAAAAGTATTGTTGTCCTGAGGTTAAATTTGAAACGATATCTAACCTGTAATTTTTTCTTGCAAAGTTATGGGGGGTGTAAGATCGCGGTTTTGGCCAATTTGGGACAATTAACGCGCGATATATTTCGCGCTATTAACGCATAATCTTTAGTTGAATTTTACTTTAGTGCATTTATTTTGTTTCATGTTTTTACTACTCAATAGAACTTAAAAGGCAGTTGGAGCGTTCAGGGCGAAATTAATACGACAGGATAGCCAGCCTCAATTCAATTTGGAACGATTTTGTTGCGCGGGACAATTCGCCACGCAAAAATAATTCGCGTTACACTCTCAGAGTTATGAATAAAACTAGTCTATAACTTGGCCAATTTGGCAATTTTCAAACCCGCAGAACATCAGTGGGGTACAAAAAAATTTGTTGAAAGCTATTATTTCCATCGTCCAAAATTGGCTGAATAATAAAACACACCGAGCATAAATTTTCTGTTTTTTTTTCGAAATTCGAAGCAAAAAGATGATTTTGTTCAAACAATAGAGGGCAGTAGAAACATTCAAAGTTTTGTTCAAATCAAATAACAAAAGATATTTTAACTTAGATCATTTTGCCACTTAGATCATCTTTGGAGATTTTATTCCTAATGCTGGAAGCGTAAAGCGAAACATTTACGCCTGGCGAACAATCCCGCCCAACAAAATTGTTCAAAACTGAACTGAAGCTAGCTAACTGGTCGTATTAACTTCGTACAACTCAATTTGTCACACTTGAGTTTCGATTTAGTCCAAAATGTATAGTTTTTCATTGTTTTCTTTTCCCATAGCTTCGACATGGATTGAGTGGCAGTCGGATCATTCAGGGCTTTGCCCTGATGTACGAGAAACCTAGTTTTGCTTGTATTGGGGTCCAATCAACATCAAACCGATAGGGCAAACCAAATAAACTTTAAATATCCAAAACACTGCATTGTTTTTTAAAATGTTTATTTGAATGTTCTTTAAAAAACAGTTGGCTCAAAAAATATCAACAATTTTCTTTTGAGCGGTTAAGAGCGTAAACTGAGCTAAAACGAACTCCGAATATACTAAAAACTCAAAATAACTTATGGAAAGTTTTTGATCAAAATTGACAAATAAAAAAAAACAATTATGCGTTCAAGAAATGTATATATTTATAGTTTCATTTAAAAAAATGGAAGAAAAGCTAGCTAACCGGTCGTATTAATTTCGTACAACTCAATTTTTTAATTTTTCACTCTTGATTCTGTCCAAAAATTATATTTCTAAAACATAGTTTTAAGAGAGCGGTGGTGAAGTGATAACGTCTCGGCCTCTCAATCGAAAGGCCGCTTGTTCGAGGCCCACCATGATCCGTGCTCGTTGCTTGAGGGTGAGGCAACATTACCCAGCCCAGAAAATAACCAAAACAATTGCATGTAGTTCTTAAGCAGGGGCACAACAGCGGTTCGCCGTGATGAGCTGTACAGTTCGTATATTGGTCCTTTCCCTCGTGGATAAATGTTCTTAACTTAAGTTCAGAAAAGCTCAAAAAATGGCTTAAATGTCAAATTTTTATGAAGAAATTGAGATATTATTTTTTAAATATGTTAATATGTGATCTCAACCTACCACGAATGTGTGAGAAAAATAATTTGCAATAAAGGCTTATCTAATAAATTCCATGTCATTTTCCACTCAGTCGCTGCTCGGAACTCAGTTAAACTCAGCAAAACTGTATATCGAAGTCGGCAAGCTTGGTCATCTTTATATGGCTAATATATTTTATTCTGATCTCATCAAGTTTTTCATGACGTTGCGAACATGAGAAAATGTCAACAAAGGCGACTCCTGGTAATTAATTTCATTTTAGGTTTTGAGAAATTGAAAAAAATAATAATTCGTTTTTAATGACAAAAGAGATGCAAGGTCAAAGGCAAAAAAAAGATTGGCTTCTCAAAGATCTTGGCTCTTGCTTTATTTTAGAAAAGCTAGTGTTAGGTGATTTATCTAATGGCCTTTACTAGTTTGTTGGAGAATCCATTCTTAATCTAGTTTACGGTCATATTTTTCTTGCCTTGGAATCGGAACATGAATGCACCGAATACATAACACGGAAGAAAAAATGTAAAAAAAAACTTTATATGTTTTGTAATGATTCAAAATATTTAAAAGTTAGATAAAAAATGTGGTGCTGGAACCAGTTCTAAGCTAGTATTTATAATTGGATATAAATACAATTATAATATTGATAAAACTATCACTATAAATTATTACTAAGTAACCAATCATATTCCATCTCTAACATTGACGCTTATTTGTAAGTGATGCAACTACTTGTAGTTTCAGCACCAGAACAATTTGAATAAATCTTAGAATACAGTTGTTCTCATTCTTGAACTAACACGCGTAAACCAGTATACACTAGATCTATTGAGACTAGGAGATATAACAGTAAGTTTAAGAATGGTATTAGACTAAAAAGTTGCACCAATCTATCCGGCCGAAAATAAGATAGCGTGACGAACAGACGGTGTACCTTAACTGAAAACACTCTATGAGTATAGACCAAAGTTCATAACTCATCTGGTGCGACCATAAGTCTCGAACAAAACCTCAACTAACTTAGAATTAGACAATTAAACTTAGAATTAGACAATTGCAAAATTGCAAAAAATTTTAGATGGAATAGACAATTTAAAAGAAATGTCTCTACGTCTCAATAAATTTACGCCAATTTTCCAAGCAATTCGAGAAATACCAGGTTTTGCAAGAAGGCCAAGATCGAGGCGTGAACAACGATCAGGAAACGGATCAACGTACTACAAGATAGTACGACGGAAACCGGAACAAGTTTTGTATTTAGAATACTTTATGCAGCAAATTTAGATTTTCAATTATTGAAATGAAAATTATCTGAAGAATAATTCATCAACAACTCATTTGGTGCTAAACCTAATATTTAAATAAAAATGACTGATAAGAAGAACACAAGTCGTTCCCCAAAAAATCTGCAGTAAATCAAACTTTTGAATAAATAATTTATTAAATAAAACAGACAAAAATTAGTTAGTTTTAACGTTACTTTTTGGTTTCACAAATTAACACACAAGATTTTCCCATCTCAGCTTCATTACCTAAAACATAACAGCACAAATTCAAAAAACTAATATCATCTAAACTTTTAATTTTTCTGAAACCTAACCTTTCACATAAAAACTTATCAAGGTGTATCCTTGTTTTTCCATAATTCAATTTTATTTCATAAACAGATCACCGAGGCTTTCCTGGATCTTTTTTTTTCACATGAAACTAAATTAGTTTTATCTAATTTCTGATCATCAAATCAGAACAATCTGAACAATTTGATCTCTTGGATCAAATCAGAACAATTTGATCCCTTGGATCAAATCAGAACAATTTTGTTCTCCCCTTCCCAAAATTTCAAAAGTGTCTCAAACGTTGATTCAATACCCAACCCTTATAAACGACCCAGGACTAATAGAAGCTTCGAAAAAACTAACCATTTTAATTTAACTAAACAGTGAACAACTTCGGTTACTCATCCTTCACTTGAGCCTTCCGTCTTAGATGACCCAGGCTAAAACTTTTAACAAATTAGCAAGTCATAAAATTGTATTTAACGATCTACTTGTGTTCTAATTATGCCTGAACCTTGTGGATTGATTTACTATTCACAAAAAATCACAACCCCTAGGTAAGATTAAGTAGGAAACTCATAAATTAAAACTGATTCACGAGAAAGAAAAAATCATTCTCACGAATTGATATACTCTCTCTCCATCCCCTCAACCTCGACAATATATGCCCCAAATTAGATAACCAAACAAAAACCGTAAGGACTAACAGTTCAGGAAATTAAAAACTGTAATCCCCAAATATCACATCCATCATCCTAAATCTTATGTCAAGAGATAATCTAGGCACTAACCAAACAATCAAATTACATAATTGTTTAATAAAACATGAACAATACGATCTTGTTATCACACCGCACAGACAAATAATAAGCTATATAAGATCAAAAAGAAAACAAGGAAAAAGAGACAATTATAACAAAACAAAAGCAAATTATCAAAAGAAGATTCTCAAACGCAGTCACAGAATTAGAAACGAACACAATACAGGAAGTTCAAGACTTGAAAGATTCAATAAATAAGAATGACCCGATAGAAAAACAAAAAACATTTTTCTGAATCAGAAGCTACAACACCATCATCAATTAAAAGAAAACGCAGAATAAAGAAATCAAACAATAACAAACCAATACGCCTACATAATTGGAATCAATCAATAAGACAAATTGAAAATTACAAATTAACAGTTCTACAATACAATAAATGATAAAAACAACACAAATTTCGACGATAACTCGATGCTTCCATTTTTCATACAATCACAAAAATATCCCGCCCGAGCACAAGTACATTT